GTTGCTCTCCTTGAAGCACGTTTCAAGACATTCTGAAGTTAGCAGCACTCATACTTTATAAACACTTAAGCAATTCAATGTGTAATACTTCAAGGTGTACATTCCCCCCATTGTTAGCGCTTGCAGTACTCAGTGCAGATAAGGCACTAAGCATTTTCAGTATACCATGAAGGGTCTAACAAAAATCATACTCACAACACTGCAATGTCAGGCAGATACTGGATACCTAATTGTGCTTCTGATGAGGATGCCTGTGGCGCAGCCAGAATTGCACTGTATTTAGCCAGTCAAAAGGTACAAGGAAAGAAACAGGATGGAGAAAGGAAAGAGAGCCATTCTTCTTATGTTTGACTCATGCAAGACCATCCTCTCAACCTCTCTTCTGTCTCCTGTACTGTGCAGAGAAACCTACAACTACCCTTGCCACTTTGCAAGGGGATCTCTGACACCTAATACACTGTTTGAGGCTGAAAGCACAGTGCACATGGGAGACACTAATCAATTGAGCCACATGCATGGAAAGGACCCTGCCTCTCTGCATGTCCTAAGATTCTTCTGCACACACATCCATGCAACATCCAGGTCTTCTTTCTTTTCCAGGTAAACAACATTCCTTATTGCTAAAAATGGAAAGAAAGAACAGCCTTACAGTATCTCTTGTTGAGGCACGTAAAAGAAGAAAGAGACTTCAATATGACAAGTATGATTTATTTTGCCTATAGCCTTGGAAGAAGGGCTTCAGATTTAGAGTGTTTACATCTGTAACTGGTGTATTCTGGAGAAAGGGGAAGCAGAATCTTTACAATCATTTGCTTTTTGACCCAGCTAAAGCATCAGATGAAAAATCTTTACACCACTGCATTACTCTCAAAGCTTCCTTTACCTTTTCATCTTTCTGTGCATATGTTAGTGTGTGTGTGTGTGTGTGTTAAAGTCACACAATAGTAATTCCATACAAAAAGCCCTTGTAATTACTATTATAAAACCAAACCCACAAAATAGTACATTAAAATCACCACAGAACTACAAAAACTTACTTACTTCTAGTAAGAGAGTCTAAAAAATACATGGTGAAGAACAGGAATTTCATTTCTAGGAAGTCAGCAAGAAAAGATGAATCATTTTACTTAACCCTATGAGTATGTCTCATTGCCTATACATTGACTCAATTACCATGAAAGCAAAATGGATGGTTGATAATTAATGGAATTTATAAATGGGAGTAAGTAAATGCAAAAATATTTCTAGAGGGGTTTTAGCTCCTGAACATTATTCACTATGCAACAGAAGAACTAAAATATTTGTGTAAGCAATACGCTGGCATACACATGTCATGACCATGAGAATACAAGGAAAGCTATGGCCAGATTCTTAACAGTAAGCACCATGAATTCATGCAAGACTGATGCATGCAGAAACACACAGTGCAGTTAAGACAACTGTCTACACATAAGCTTATCACATGCACAAGTGTCTGAGCAGCTATATATATAACTTGCTCATTAGGTTTGCATATCTCATTTCCTTTTCTATTTTTCCTCATGGGAGCAAAACTATAAAGCAACAGCTCGCCACCAGATAAAACACTTACTTTTCAGACTTCCCTGCACAGGCTAATTCTGCAGTTCTGTTTCAATCTACACCATCACATCTCTTTAAAGCTAGAGTCTCCTCTGAATGACAGTTTCCAGACATGCAGTTCGAAAGTATTTTTACAAGGTACACAAACATTCTTTCAAAGGCAAGTAACAGTGACAGTGTCTATACTGGTCATAACTAAGAGCTGACATCAAATTCTTACAGGTAAGACTGGTTCATTGACTTACATTTTAATGCATGCTTTAATGGTTTAGAAGTATTTCTTTATTTCTATAAAAAAAAAGTAATAACCACCTTTTAAGGAACAAATCACTTTGCTATTGAAAATAATCTATTATCTTGTTTTAGGACAATCCAAATAATTATACAATGCTTTTCATTTTGGAATCAGTAAAATTATAATTTTATTGTCAAAACAGACCAAACAGTATTTGATATTCTAAGACTTCACCTAATTTCTGCTATGTTCTTAAATATCACAGATGCTAAGAAAAATGACACAAGCAAAAACATTACAATAATTAAAGACTATATAATACAGAAGTTCAGCTGTACCCATTCAAACACAGTACATGATATGAGTCAAATGATACACAAATTGAACTCCAGTATTTGCAACACTCACCACTTTCCTATCCTGCCAACTCTTTCGGAAAATTGACATATTGAGACCTGAATGTACATACAGGTATGAAAGGCACCCAGTTTCAGATTCCCTCTTGTGTTTTCAGAGTATTAATGTCCGTGCATTTTTCATCATGCATGTAAACCCTGCTTAATTATCAACTCCACCCAGGTGCAATGTTCTTCCCTCACACCACCACTGCAATGCAAAGATATGCACCTATTTGCCAGTACAAGTTTATTTTTATAAGGGACTATCTTCCTAAACTTTCTAGCTTGGATCCTGTATGTTTTCGATTTGGAAATTACAGAGTCTTCACTGGCCCGCTGCCCATGCTTCCGATACCTTCTCTCAAGTATTCTTAGAAAGAAATTTAAAAAGTCTCTATCCTCCTATTAAAAACTAGGCGCCATGGAGATAAACAGTACATTTAGATACAAACTCAAAATAACAAGCAAATAGACTGTTCTTTAACTCTTACCAATATACCAGATCAGAGACAAATGTCTTCTATCCACACAGGCATATTACATTCCAAACACAAAAAGTTAAGAAGAAAATTTCAAGTATCAAACACTTCAGATACACTTTTTTTAAACACTACCCTTTCATAACAACTTTTAACAGGTTACATATTATCCCATAATAAACATAAATCTTCCACTTCTCTGTACCTAACATTTTTTGCCTTTTTTTTTTAATTCTTATTGCGCCTTTTTTTTTTTTAATTCTTATTGCTTGACTGAATTTTCATCTAGTCAGCTGAATTTAGTCTCAGATGTGCTTTACCATCCTTATTTTTTGACAAATAATTTAATCTCCAACATTTCAGTATGTTATAAAAAAGTAATTCAGTAACTCGTTATAGGGTTATTCTAAAAACAGCTTTTAAACTTCCAAGTGAGGAACAACTAGATAGAGTACAGTACCAGCTGCAAAAAGGGAAGATAACACAGATGACAAAGTGGAACACAAAGTGGTACGCTCTTCAATATAGATATTTAAACAGAAGATTAAAAGTTGCTCTGATTTAGTTCAATGTAGTTCAATGAGAATATGCACCAGAATGTCTACCAAGGGTACATTTGAACATTATGTTGCTGTAATTTATCTATTATCTTTATGATAAGAAAATATAATTAATACCTAAATAAAATTCTAAGGAAAAAAAAAAAAGTCTCATCCAAACCACTATGATGACATGAGATTTATCCATAATCCCTTTTTCTTAACTTCCCTAGAACAAAAGCATAAAGAATTTTGTGACCCATCAATAACTGATCTGAAAAAAAAAAAAGTGTATTAATCTTCATTTTGCCTATATAACAACTATTATTGGATAAACAAATGTGTATTAGCTTGGAAGAAATAGCTTTCTAACCAGCACAGAATATTAACCTCATGCATCAGAAAAATAATACACACAGTATTTATCCCCCTTTTTTTTTTAAATATTTGCGAGCAGCAGCAGAATGCCATTACTTGAGATTAGCCAGAAAATATTTCACAGAGAATCAGCTTATGGTATTCACTATCCTACTTTGGAAAAGTTAACCTTTTGAACCATTCTGAGGGTATGCTGACCCCTAAAGGTCTAAAAATACTGAATATGATTAAGCCATTACACATTTTAAAAGCATGAATTGAGAGAGTACAATTCTCTATTAAGTTACTCCACCGTGACTATTTTTACTTTCAGAGCATATGACTCAAAAACATTTTTAACTTCACTGAGTTATAGCTCAAATTCCAGGAAAAGGGGTCTACAAGTACTTCATTATACACAGTAATATAGATAGAAATTCCTTTACGTATGTAGGAAATGCATCATCTCCAGTTTTCCTTTCTGCTAAAGAACAGTCTTCATGAGAAACTTAGCATTTATTATGTTTTAAGAAAGAATACATAGTATAAAATCCAAAACAAGGAAATGTACACGATGCTATCTGGCTCTGATATAGGAGGCATATTTGACATTGACACACCTCTTCCTTTTCTTTTTTTGTTTGTTTTGAAACCTACAAATAACCACTTACTGAAAAAAAAAACCCCACTGCTGAAGGTCTTCCTGGTGTCTTTCTCCTTCTTCAAACTATGTATTATTATCTATCCACAAGCCACTTTGTCTTCCCTTCTGTAAGATCAGTCAGTCACATAATGTGTTCTCAAACTCAGTGCTTTTGGTTTTTTTTAAGTTTCTGCCATGAAACAGAGAAGAATGTATCTGAGAGAAAAATTTTGGTCATCAAAATACAAAATAGACCCTTCCATCCTGACGGAGATGAAAACTCCATGAACCACGGAAGTTCCAAGTTAACCAAGGCCCCCTTTACCAACAAGCCTACCTTACTGCCTATATTCAGCTGAAGTAATAATGAGAAACTCATTAATATTAGTAGATGGCTTAATCATATTCTAGCAAGGCGTAAATAGCAAGAAAGTTACTTTACTACAGGCTTTAGATTTATTGTTAACCCATTATGGAAAAAAAGATTGGGAAGTGCAATGTATAGACTAAGAATTTAAGTTAATTTAAATAAGATATCTCAAAGTTAAAGAAAAATAAATTTCAATAACCTAGAAAATAAAAATAAAGCTGATGATTTACATTCCTGTGGCTGCTCTCCTGTTACCCCACATACTTAAGAGGCAGCGTATGGTTGGTTTTTTCCTTTTCTTCCAAAGTCAGTCATATATCGGCAAGAACAAATACATTCCTGTCACTGCCTAGCACTGGTACAACACCTGAGGTTATTAATATCTTAAAAGTCCTTACCGTTTGACCAGTTCTCCATTTGTTCTTCTGAACTTGTTTGATCTGGCACTGAGTCCAGTTTTTGCTTGAAGATTTCAGAGCTAAAATACAGCAAACTCTAGATAAATAAACTTGAAACAATATAACACACCTATACTTTGACTTCGTTTGACAGAAAATTTGCAAGACTAATGATTTAAAAATATATATAGCAGGACAATAAACTCTGTGTACTTTAATAGTAAGTGCTAAATCTTATTTCTCAGAAAAATTTTTTTTGACCACATACCTATATAATTTTTATAATGGCTTGGTTTAGCTTTCTGTTGCATGTAACATTTTCATTGAAAAATTTGTTAGTTTGTCTTCTTGTTCTAGAGTCTGGTCTTGGAAGCGCATGCTACTGAGCACAGCCCAAATCACACTGAGTGGTCCCGCCAGAGGCAACAAGACTGCTTGCTTTGGTAATTATTACAGATGGTTGTATGCACTTTATGACATTCTTTCTCCTGCTTTAATTTCCTGGATAAAATACAGGTAAAGCAGTCCATGACCACTTCAACTCCGAATTTGCAAGGTTTTCTAAACACTAAATAATCAATCCTAATATTTGCATACATATTGCTTCAGACCATACAGTTAATCACACAGTTGCAGTATTTCATATAATCAAAGATCTTCAAGAAACAACCCTCAATACTCAAAAATAAGATGTACCCTGAAATGTTATGCTTATCAGGTAACATTTTGAGTTTAAAACATATGGTCTTTTATACATTAAAAATTGAACTATGTTCTATGTCTCAAGGAAATCTAAATTAATCTGTAATCTTACTAATATAGTAAGCTTACCACAAATTTTGTTACTTACTCAAGCACCTGTTTTAAAATGTATTGTATGAAGGACAATTTTTCATCTTTAACTACATAGTTATGCTTATTTTGTATGTTTTCCCTGCTATATTTTTTCTACATTTACTAAAAAGATACAATATGTGCCTTGAAGAGGCAGTGGCTGGATCACAAAAATACCTAGAGTTGTGCTGAAAAATGTAAGGGTTAAAAATAAAGTACACATTTTAAAATTCAAGCATATTATACGAAGACATATGTTCTAACGAATGATACAGTAGAAGAAATTCTTTTCCTACACAACACCAAAAAGGCAGATGTTTTCATTTTTATCTTTGTGATTATTAAAAAAAAAAAAGTATAATTGTGCAAGCACTTAAGATTCAACACTAAAATATTAAGCATTCAAGAAATACATATTTAGCTTATATGGGTTGTTAACTATAAATGTGCATGATAAAAAACAAATGTGTATGATTTGATGTCCTTAGGTCTTAATAAAAAAAAAAAACCAAACTTCACCTCATATCGCAGAACTCTGAGTTCCTTACAAGAATCCCTCAAATGAAGCTGTACGTTTCTTTTTCAATTCTGTGTAACTGTGTTGATTTGGAGTTGGCAATCTTTTCCTAAGTTCCTCATTTACTTTTGGATTAGCTGAAAATATAGAAGGTTATTAATATCAAGAAATAGGTTTCTGTCAATGATTCCCTACATATTGCACAAAAAGGTTCATAATAATTGAAGTATTTTAATAAGATATTCATATAGCAAGACATGAAGAAAATATGGTATTTAATAACCTCTGGAGTATTTTAAAACATGTCTTAGGGCCTTAATGTGCCTAGTAATATACTATTTAAAACCATAATTTTATCCCTCCACAATATACAGTCATACTTCCTCGCCATTTACCCAGCTAATGAATGCCAGCAATTAGTAAAATGTAATCCCATTGCACAATCATTTTAATGCTTTTAGCACTCAGAAAAGTAAACACCAAATTAATACTGCTCAAGCCATATCAGATCCTAGTTGGAAGCAAGCAATTATAGTTCAGCTCCTCAGGTGTAATTAAATGATTGGAATGATTTAGTTCCATAAATGCAAGTTAATTCATAAGCAAGCAACAAATATACTGGGAGTAATTACAAGAAACATTGACAGTCTAAGCAGGGCATGTACCTGATGTAGGAAAATGGTGCCCTCTCCTGGCAATAATAAACTATGGCACAGGAATGGTTGGAGACAGAAGTCGAGGCTTGTTTTACAGACTTTGTCTTCATAGGTGGAATATGTTCTGCTAATTAACGGGATTTTCTGGTTTACATGTATAGAAAATAAAAACATTGTTGATATCAGATTAAAACAACCTATTGATCAAAGTCAAACCGGGAAACCTTTTGGGTCTCCCTAGGGTTTGCAGTAATATTTCCCTATTAAAAAAAAATAAAAATGTTAGTAAACAGAATAACAAAATATTCCATATACTAAGTATGTAAATCGTATTTTCTGAACACACACGCTGCAATAGGTATCCCATTTATGCACAACACTTAGATATCATTCAACACGTAACTTTACAGTAGGTACTTCAAATGTAAGATATTTTTAGAACCAAAATTTACTGAACCATAATTATTCAGACAGACTTAAACTTTACCACATCAACAACAATCAGAATCTGTCCATGAAGGTTTTTCCAGGAGGAATCATCCAAAAATTAAATATAATTATTTTAAAGCTTTACCTTAATTTGAAAACTATGTCAGTAATCAATCTATCTAGTAATGAAAAGAAATTAAAGCTAGAGATTAAAATAAAATATACTGGTAGACTGAGACAAAACTGAAAATAAGAAAATGAAACTGTAACCCAAAACCTGGAGTTCATTTTAAATCTAGAGCTAATTTCCTTATTCACTATTTATTCAACATGTGTTAGTGTTAAGACTACCACTTGAACAACACACAAAGCTAAAAAAATAAATAAATTTGTCCCTCTGTTGAAAATGCAATAGTCGCATAAAATTCACACTAAATATTTAAGTACAAACCCACCTACAAATATGAATATAAATTATCCAGTATGTTGCTACTAATGAAAGAAACCAGATGTACCCATTTAACCCTCTACAGAAATAACAAATACTTCCCAACTGCTGCATATAGAAGCATTGGAGAAAAATTACATGCTGTGGTCAGTATATGACTATTTTCCACACAGATAAACTGCCTGTAGAAAGCTTGATTCAAAAGCACCTGATCACTGTAAAAACCTGAAAATGTTCTTTACCAATAGCTCTTTGGAATCAAAATATTTCTTTGTTCCAGATCTTTGTGTATTTCAAAACAAACCCAAGCTGTACACAAATACCTTCACTGTTTCTTTACCTACTGTGGAAATGAAATAAATTATTTTAAGAAGTCATATTCTTAAAAGTTTAAAATGTACAGCACATTTGCTTTGCCCTTTCATGTCACAGTCCTATTTTTCTATTCAAATCTTGTACACTGCAAGTTAATTGCTTTTGGAAACTACTTATTATTCATGTAAAAATTAATGTGCCAGTGTGTTTAAATCCTTTTAAATGACCATTCATGCATCTTTCTTAAGTACCAAAGAAATCTGTCAAAGATATCAATGCAAGATGGTCTTAGAGAAAGTTCCAATAAAGACTTTTTCTGCTAACATAAGATTTTCATTTTCGTCAACTTTACTTCAATTCCATTAATTTTTTAAGCTGCTTTTAATAAATTCACAAGTAAAAAATTTTAGGCTCCATAGCCTGTCATTTGTGTTCCAGCTGACTTTATGAATATTAATAACAGTGTTATCCTGATTAAATAGGCTTCATATAAAATCCCTGTGAATCCTATAGCTCAGACATCTCATTTTTCCAACTCTTTATGAATTTGGATTCGGACATTAAACTGGAAAAAAACTTAAAAAACAGATTCAATGGTACATTCGTGTACCCTTAAGCAAAAAATTAGATGTTCTAATGATTCAAATAATTAAAATAGCTAGGTCCACATATTGAGATTTCAGGCTTTCTGTAAATAAGCAATGTATTTTAATGAAAACGTCAACACTTCACAGAACAAAGGATTAAGAATCAATTACGAAATAATAATAATGTCTGTCCTTATCTCTACCTTAAACAACAGATGATATGATCTTAACTCTTCATATATAGAGTGCTGATTTGCAGAAGTATTTCCCAAAGAGAAAGCAATTAGTGGATGCTTAATTACATAGACATACACACAAAATACATGAACATTCTAGTGTAGCATGGGTGCCCACTGAAAAACAGCATTAACTTTTAATTGGTTTATACTTCAGCAAAAACAACCTTTTTCTAAAGAATGTCAAATTGAAGTACACAAGAAATTTTAACATTATCCTATGAGATTCATGCAGTCACAGTTTGAAACTGTTAACTTCGTTCCATGCTTACATGTTTGAATTATTTACATCTATGACAGATAAATATTGAAAACTAAGCTCACTGCACTGCCTTCACTTTTTCATATAGCGCTAACTAAAATTACTACTTCCTCACTCATTCAGGGATATATTCTACAAAGATGGCCATCAAAGTATTTTGCCTTCCAGTACCTTGAAATATGAATGGATTTGAGGAGAAAAAAATCTAAACAAAAAAACGGCTTATTGAAAAGAATTGCATTCCAGTACCAGTTCTATTTACTTATCAACACAAACACTTAATAGAATTAAATAAGAACAAGAGGTATACAAAAATAACATACATCTGCAAGGTAGGAAGCATACAGTGCATTACTTGGGCAGTTTTGAACTGCTTTTATTACAGCTGTCATGGTATTTCCATTTTCAGAGGAAAAATCCTCCAGAGTGTCTGCAGAATATATATTATACAAGGGAATGCCCCACCATAACACCAGCTTTCAACTGTCTGTTGATGTTCAGAATCCAAAAGGCTGTTGAGACCCTTCCACACAAAGCCCCCTGTTTGTTGGTCTTGCCTTGACAGGTTTTGAAGACAACTGCTCAATCATGGCCTTAGCCACTGCAACAAGAAGCAAATGCTTGCTCGCATCAACCAAACTCACCTCTTCTTCACAAAAAGCCCTCAGGTCTTGGGAGACCTTTTCCACAAGGACGTCTACCCCGCCTGCCCTGCTTCTGTTGGAACAAGAAACTGGTTCCCACCACCAAGTCAGTCTTTGTCCCTTTTAATGGTGCAGCTGACAGTCACCATTGACAGTGCAGGGATGAAGCTAGGTAAAGGAGGGAACACCATATGCTTTATGGATAGGGAAATAACAAATTTTAGTATTATTTTCATAAGATTAACTAGATTACCAGGATCTCCTAAAATACCCTGAAAAGTTTTTCCTCAGGGCAACCTAAACTAAAAAACTTAATTTAGGAGGGTACAATACTTAGAAACCACTTATCTTCTAGAAGCATTTCCCTAGGGAACAAACAGACAATTGTCTTAGCTCAGGTGGATGCCAAGTTTTGATGCAACGATACACTCGTCCACT